GTGGGGAGTTGAATATGATTAAAAGATATTGTTGAGGGATGGCTAGGGGCAGGTGGGATGTTGGGGGAGGGGAGGGAGAGGGAGAAGGGATTGACATCTGAAGCAAGCTTGTTCCTAATTTGAACTAAAAAAAAAAAAATATTGTATACATGTAAGAAATTCTCAAGGAACTAAAAAAATGTTTTTTTTTAAAAACAAAACAACAAATGTTGATGAAGATATGAACAAAGGGTAAGTTTTTTTGTTTGGTTGGTTTTTCAATACAGGATTTCCCTATGTAACAGCTCCAGCTGTCCTGGAACTTGCTTTGTAGACCAGGCTGGCCTCAAACACACAGAGATCTGCCTGCCTCTGCCTCCCAAGTGCTGGGATTAAAGGTGTGGCCGCCACCACCTCCCGGCCAAAAGGGTCTTACACACTGCTGATGGGAATGCAAACTAGTGCAGCCACTACACAAGCTTACATGGAGCTTTCCTTAGAAACTGAGAATAGATCTACCATTTGCCTCAGCTGTAGCACTTTTGGGCATTTACCAAAGGGCTTGCTAGATAGTAAGCTGCGGGCCATCCTGAGCTACATGGGGATACTCCGCCTCGTAACAGTCATAAAGGAGAACAGTCACATCATTGGCATGAAAATGGATGTAGCTAGAGATAAGAAATAGAGCAAACAAGTCCAGTCTCAGGAAAACAGCTAACACGTATATTCTACCATTCTCATTTGTGAGTCCATGAAAGTAGAGATCCAGCTGTCTAGAGAAACAGAGAGGACCAACTGGGGGTGGGGAGGAGGAAAGGAGGGGAATGCGTGTGGGGATGGGATATGCTCTATGTACAATATACACTTGAATGAAAAGTTACCTATGGGGGACTGGAGAGATGGCTCAGAGGTTAAGAGCACCGACTGCTCTTCCAGAGGTCCTGAGTTCAATTCCCAGCAACCACATGGTGGCTCACAACCATCCGTTATGAGACCTGGTGCCCTCTTCTGGTGTGCAGATATATATGGAAGCAGAATGTTGTATACATAATAAATAAATAAATAAAAATCTTTTTAAAAAAGTTATCTATGGTACCAAAATGTAACATGAATTAATAAGACCCAGAGACAGATATTGGGGTTCAAGCTGAAGATCAGGGAAGCAAAGCATCTGGATACTAGCTCTTACCTCTACCTCAGGCCGAAAGGGCTGATCCATGACTGAGCTCTTCACCAAGTCTCAAACCGCTGCCTCTCCTCAGTGTGGCTGGAAAACGAATGCCTCATACTGAATACTGAAGCCCCTGCAGTCCTTGTGTTTCCCAACTTCTTCAGTACACTAGTTACCTACATCTAGTAACACTATACTGTGCATGGGTGAAAAACTGCACGCGCACAGCGTCCCAAAAGCAAATGGTCATTGCAGTGGAATATGGGGAGGAAGCAGCGCACGCCCTCAGTTCCCCCAAAGTAAGGGTAAAAGGGGGCTGTTTTCTTTTATTTTTGGTTGTGAGCCTAGCCTTTAATGGCTGAGCCATCTCTCCAGCCCGGCTGTTTTCTTAAATACCCTCACTTCTATGGGAGTGTTGAAGAAGGGAGACAGCCTGGTAGAATTTAATGCCAGCTCCATAATTTACAAGGCAGAAGACTTGTGGGGAGATTATTCAAGTTATTTTTTAGGACTGTAAATGAAACGAATGAAGTACCATGTCCATTTTCTCATTTTATTGGTATTCTGTTTTTGAGTGCCTTTTTGTTCTAGACATGAATTCTGTCAGGAATATAGCTGTGAAAGTTTTTTTCTATCCTGTAGGTTGCCTCTTCAGTGGATTAACAATGTCCTCTGCAGTACCGAAGCTTTTTAATTTCATCAAGTTTCCACTTACTGGTTGCTTACTTCCCAAATGACTAGAGTCCCATTCAGAAGCCTCCTTACTGAGCCTCTAGTTGAAGTGCATCCATCCCTTACTCTTCTAGAAAATTTGGGTCTAACGTTGAGATCTCTGATCCATTATTTTGCCAATTGAACAGAGTATCAAATTGTTCTCTAAACTTTTATCTTTCTACTTACAGACTAGTGCGGCTCCTGGACCTCAGCAGAGAGAGCCCTTTCTCGGTGCAGTGGATAGTGTTTAAAGCAGGAACTCACAACTAGTCAGACACAGAGGGCAAGTGCCAGTGGAGTGCTCAGCCCCAAGTGGGACTTGTTACGCCTTCCCCAAAGACCAGGGACCAAAGCAGAAGAGATGCACAGAGACCATAAGCGCCTGGGGTTAACTGGCTTGATCCTGGCCAACAGCCAGCACAGGACCAAACCAGTTAACTTTCTAGCATGGAGTGGGAAGGGGCTCATGAGCCACCACCCCTAAACTGGGGAGCTAAGGACAGTTGCTGGCTTCTAGGGAAAGGAAAGAGTTTTCTTTAAGGATGTAACTCCTGGTAGTTGACCATATTCCAGTGGATAGCTCCACACCCATGAGTACATGGGGCAGCACAAATTAGAAGGCTGTTTAAAACAAAGGCATGCACTTGAGGAAAAGGGCAAAAGGAGTTAAGGGTGAATATGAAATTCTGGAAAAAAATACTATTTTTTTTTTTGCCAAAAGAACAAGATTTTATTGATCTTTAATGGAGAAAACCAAATTTGCCAACTGAACATGAGGATTCAAAATGACTTTAGACATTAAAAGTTAACAATGGGGATTAGGGGGAGAGGTGGTTCAGTCTAACAGGATCCTGGTTCAATTCTCATCCCCCACATGCAGAAAACGATTCTGCATGGTCATGCTGCAGACACCATACACTAACAACTCTAATGCTTAACTCTGGCTGAGACTGACCAGGACCAGGTCTCAGGTGTCCTCACTCAAACTCCCAAGAAGCCTGGAGTTCCCACTGTAGCTGGAACTAGAGTTAACTCTCCCCACCTAGTGTCTGGACAGTGAGTGAACACTCAGGTCTAGAACAGGAACAGAAGATTTTTCAGGGACAGGTGCTCCCAGGGGAAAAATACTATTTTTAAAATGAAGTTAAATCAAATGGCTATCCTTTGCCTCCCCTCCCTGCTCTCTTACAGCCAACTTGAAATCTATTGCCATTACTTCCCCGTCTGCATTCTTAACTCAGACCTCTCATCTGAGCCAAGTTTCAGCTATCATTTGGCTACCTACTCTACTATTTCCAGCTCAAGCTCTGTATCCTGACTTGCACAGCAAGGAACTCAGGTATGAGTCTTTTGATGCCTCTCCTTTGTCCCTAGCATCATCATCAGTTTGAGTCTTTTTCTAAAGATGAGTTCTCAGTGTACTCAGGCTGGACTCCATCAGACTTAGAATCTTCTGTGCCAATCTCCGAGGAGCTGCCACCACACTATTAGGTCTTCTTGCTTTCACATGGAAAGCCTGGGGTCTCAGCACTGTCAACAGCATTACAACACCAGACTTGCTTTTTTTACAGCTATAGTTCATTTTAAAATCTAAGCAAGAATGGATCCATCAAATCTCATCAGTTAGTTCCAGGACTTAGAAGAGCAGCAGCTGGGTGAAGATACAGCTCACTGATAAGGCACTGGCTATCACATGGGAAGCTCTAGGTTGGTTCAAACCCCAGCAAAACACACACACACACACACACACACACACACACGCCAGACACACACAGACAAACCCACACACACACACAGCAAGAGAGGGAGAGAGAGAGAGAGAGAGAGAGAGAGAGAGAGAGAGAGAGAGAGCATCCTGAAGTAAAAAGCAGGTTTTTAATCAGCCATACAAGCTGAAGACATGCACAGTGCACTGCTGAGCATAATTCTCTAGGCCATAGCAAATGTGAATCTCTTGCTCATGTTGGTTACTGTACTGACACCCTGAGCACTGTTGGTGCTTTTGGTCTCAAAACATTACTATTTTTAGGGAAGTAAGATTTTAGAATATGCCTTAAACATACATTGATTAGAAACCAAATTCTAATTATACATGCATGTGCACGTCTATGAAGTGAACATGTGACTTCGTGGTTGCTATTTTTGCTTGGGACCTTATGTGCCCCACAGAATAGTTCAAAGTTTCCCTCAGCAATGAAAGATAAAGCAAGCAGTGAAAAGTTCCATTTACAAAACCTTGACAACTCAGTTCTGTGATGATACCAAGGTTGAGGACTTCTTTGGTGATACTGGGGACTGAATCCTGTGGCTTCCACAAACTAAGTCTCTGTAGTGGTTATTTTTTGCGTTTTGTTTTTAACTTTGGGCACATACCGTGAAATTGTCACTGTATTTTTTGAAGCTATAAACATGAAGGAAGAGACAGGCAAGTTGGTACAAGTCTGTGACAGTAGCATTTGGAAACTGAGGAAGGAAAATCATTAGTTTATCACCAGCTTGGGAGACATAAAAGACCAAGAAAGAAGCAGGAAAAAAAAAATTCGGAGAAATGGCTTCTGGTTAAATGAAATAGATTTGGATTGTAACAATTCCATTGCAGCATACAATGGTTTCAAACTCAGCTTGTTGTTGGATTTCACAATATATATAGCTGAAGTCAATTTGGTCCTAACTTGTTAGGCTAGCTATAAAGATCTTGAATATATATCTCCCTAGAATTGCTTATTTAAAACAGACAACTGAAAACAACACATTTAAAGAAAGGGGGAGCTAAATTTGATGACCTATGTCTGTAATCCCTCTCCTTGGCTGGCAGAGACTGAAGGACCAAACATCCTTGAGTCAAAGGCCAGCTTGAACTATATAGTGTGTTCCATGCCAGTCAGAGGTACATGGTAAAATTGTGTCTCATAAAAACAAAACTTAAATGGGTATAGAGGCTCCCTGGTGGAATGTGGGAGGCTGAGGCAAAAGATTTGCAACTCCAAGAACAGCCTGGCCCACACACTGTGCTGCAGGCCAGTCTGGGAGGCAGAACAGACCCTGTCTCAGAGAACAGAAACAAAGAAGGGAAAGTACTTACCTTACACCAGAAGCTCCCATCACAGGCAAAGGAAATAATTAGTAAAATCAAGGCTACTTCACAGCAAGATTTATTAATACATCCAAAAGAAAGAAAGAAAAATCATTTTGTCACACTATATACAGATAATACATACAGTGTTTTTATACACATATTACATCAGTTTTTACACAAGAAAAATATACATAAAAATGTAAACTTTTGTATACAAAAACCCTTAAACAAATTAAACAAGGACCAGATAACAAAAGGAGACCAATCCATTATTATTTCATCAAATTTTTAAAACAGTAATACAGTACATTCATTGAGATATATATATGGAAAATGTGAACCATCTCTTCCTGTTTAAAGGGAAATCACAAACCAAAAGCCCCTCATCTCCCCAAATGTGTCTGTCCTCCCCAGCAAAACCACAGCCAGCGCCACCGATAGGCCTTTCCAAACCCTGCCGGCCTCCTCTACGCTCTGCAGAATAGCTGCTCCCAGTGGGCGTGCCTGGAACTAAGTGGCAGCCGTGACACAGACATGAGAGAAAATGCTTGGTTTGTAAGTCCCCTTTAAGCAGCTGCCCTCCTGTCCGTGCTCTGAATGTATGGCATATGAAGCATACTGTGTGCCAAGGTGAAAGAGAACACTGAAAAGAAGAGCTCTCGGTATGGCTAGTCCTTGCTACCGTGCAGTTACTTTGTAAAAAGACATTTGAAAACTCTCTATCCTGCCTGTCCTTTGCTGGTTTCCAATGGCTACCTCACCTTTGATTTCCCACTGCAACTTGGTTTTAATTTACACTTGGGCACTCTGGTTAGTACCATACATCTGCCAAGAGGCTTTTTGTTAAAGGCTGTTCTGATATCAGTTCCAGCGAGCTACTCTGTGAAATCTGTTTCCTTAGGAGTACCCTCACTCCACTCCCCACCTGACATAGCATTTAGGATTACCTATCCATCTACCTTTCTCTCCCTCTAAATTCTCGAGGTATGATCTGCTGCCAGCTCATCTCAAACCAAAACAGTATTTAACAGTTTTGACTTAATGTTCTTGCTTTCAGTACGGAAAACTGATAGATGAATGAAAAAGATACCTTGTGGGGAAGGACAGTAAGAATTTAATATAATGCCAAGTACATGCAACTTAAGAGTTAAGAGCTCTTTCAAAAAAAAAGAATTCAGTAAGATCTTTAAATCAAACTATGCAAAATAAACTCTGCTTAAGACAGCATCATGAGAACAGTCTTCTTTCCAAGGTGAATTGTGAACAAGGCAGAACAACGGCTAGAGATCTAGTTCCTTGAAGCAAGAGAGGGGTCAGCTTCCCCCAGACAACATGATGGAAATGAGCATTATTCATTAATGAAAGGAAGAGGCAGACTGGTGAATTAAGTTGATCAAGGAGATGGTGAATGACACACACAAATGGCAATGTTAGGATTGCTCTGAAACTGAAATCAACAAGCTGGACTGTGGTATGTCACTGTTTCAGAGAGAGGGGAGATGCACAAAGTGCCCCAAGTGAATCTCGTCTCTCCTATGCAGATGGTATTTTTAAAATGACAGTCTCCCTTTCAGTTATGCAAACATAACAATAAAATGAATAGAAAGCTAAATAAATAGCATGAGGCTGACTTTAGATGAGACCTTTAAATGTTCTTTAAATAATTTTTGATAATGTATTTTAAATCATTACATACAACTGCCATTGCAGTGGCAATATTCCAGTAGGGCAGCATTTTGCTAAATGTAAAAGATTGCCATTTAGAACTCATACATATACATGTGTATGTACAGTTATATCAACAATATTTATATACATATATATCTAGAGAGCAACATTCCATTGCCTTTGAATATCTCTATGTCCACTCCCACAGTATATCCTGGAGACATACTGTGTGAGCATATACCAAAGTATATGTACACATGCGCCAACATGTATGTATATACACTTCATCTGTGTGTGCATAAGAGCTTTAAAGGCACGATATATAAGGGTGCAAGTTTTCTAGAGAACTGTGGCAGAGTTAAAACTGAATGTCACAACTGTAAGGAAAGTCAAAAGGAAATCTAGCAGAATTCATTACATGGGAACTCATTAGAGCATTTCAACATGAAAAACATGAGTCAGAATTCAGGAGGCCTCCACATGACTTTGTATACTGGTTAAAATTCAAATGGTAAATTTATATTTAAGACACAAAGCAAATCAAACTATTTAAATGATAATAAGGGTGGAAATACACCTACTACTACTATCAATCATCAAGTCATAATTATGGGTATTTTTTCTTCACTTTAAGTAAAATACTGCAAAGTTCCCTAAGTTAAAAAAAAAAAATTAATGGTTTGAATGTTGGCTTTTTATTTTTGATAACTACCCAATTCTCAAAGAAAATATGACTGAAGGCTGTATACTGCGGGGGACTGTCAGTGATTAAGGAATGTGAAAGCAACAGTCAAGATATTCATGCCAAGGCTTCTAGCGAAAGAACTGAGTTGGGAATAAGGGAGTGGGGGAGACATGTGGCTCAGCAGGGGCCCTGCAAGGCCACCCTCGGGAGTCCGTTTCCAGCATTAGGACGATAGACAACTCAACAAAGATGTGTGACTGTTAATGAGAAACTAGCTAGCAGTCTGAGGAATAGTGCAACTGGTGAGAAAGAAGAAATTCATTTGTGACCAATGTAGTCTGTAATTTGTGACTGCAATCCAAAAGATTTTTATTTCAGTATGCTTGATGATGTACTCTAGACTGTTGTCACTTTCTCGGGCTTGCAGAATAATCCAGAATTTCCCACAGATGCATAATCTTGCTTAGCAAAGGCTGTAAATCTATTACACACACACATTTTTAGGGAAATATATGTATATAGCTTTATCTATACACACACATATACATACGTGTATATATAGATTTATACAAATGTATAAATAAACATAATACTTTTTAATCTTTCCATTGACAAGGCAAGTTCACATTCAGCAAAGTGCCACCACAGCCCATATACACATCTCTGTACAGATATACACAAAGGTCTGTTCTCACCCTTCGATGAGGGGGAACTAATTCTAGCAAATTCCATTAACCAGCAACTGAAGGGAGAAATGACATCAGTACAAACTCCCTCCTTTCATTTGCATGCATATGTACAAGAAATATGCAGATTTCTTAAAATCCAAAAGCAAGAGTGAATGAAACAGGGAGATGCTACAAAAATACAATCGTAAAAAACAACACAGAAAGCTTACCCAGGTTTTGACTGAATCTAAGATGAAGTAACTGAGGCCTCAAAGACAACTACCAACCCAAATCTGTTCTTGGGAGTTGTTCTGACATATCCCTAAGCAATAAGTTTTATCGATAAATGTGAGGGGAGCACGTGGCTCTAGTTGACTGTCTCAGACCATCAGATGCTCCAGGAAAGGATGCACGGCAAAATGACAAAGCTCAAAGTACAGGAATGTATCTTTCTGTTTAGTTCCACATGAATCAGGTAAGCATCAAGGGGAGCATGATTTTTCCTACAGCCAAAAGATGGGAGCTGCAGTGCTACGCTCCATATAACCAATGGCACAACCCAGTTCTAAAGGATGTTTTGCAAAGAACTAAAATAACACCAGCTTTGAAATAGATACAGTGAAATGAGCCACCAACTCCTCTAAAACAAGCAGCCCCTTCAGAAGCCTCCTAACCAAGGCCTAGGTTTTCTGAATTTGACCAAGAAAACATCATAATACTTTATTACTTGGAATATAAAGAACATTTATTAGACATAAAAATGTTTCAACAAATCTGTGGTCCCATCACATCAATAGACAAATAAGCTGTTATCTAGGTCTGTCTCTCTCTTATTTTATGCTCATAAGGATGAGGCTGGTCTTAGAATCTGCTTTTTCTCATGTCACTTTAAAAACACCGTAAGTTAATTCAAAGGTTAAAGGAAAATGCACATGATATCAGAGCTAGCCTTTGAACATAACATAGCAAAGAATATGGCATGGTTATAAAAGAGAAACAATGGGAAAGTAACTGTAATATCCTCAGCTAAATAAATCATATTTCTATAATACATTCGGTTACCTTTCTATTTTATACAAGCACACATTCATATCTCACACACGTGCCCCCAACGTATATTTTTGCATGTGTGTAAAAACACAGACACATACATGCACACAAGTAATTTACCTCTATTTTTAAGTCACAGTGGGAATTCCTTAGTGAGGAGGGGAAAACGTTCCTGAATGAGACACTGAGAACATCTATTTATTAATTTCTCTATTTTACTTCTCAACTTACAGAATAAACTGTAAATTAAAGAATAAATCCATAGGAAATAACAAAGGTCTTAAAAACTTAGTTTACAAATTCCAGCTACAGTAGTGGGAGTTTTACTGGATCTATTTGCTTCTATTTACCCTGTAACTAAGTGTCTAGCCATCGTTAAGTGTAAACCACAGATCATGTACTAAAGAACATGATTCTCAACAGCTCTATGAATGATAATAAATGGTCTAAGGGTGTTCTACATTTTGAGGCCCCAGGTTATCCTTTTCTTTATATATCTGCAAGGTAGCAAAGGATAGCTATACACCTTGACACGGCAGAGATCCAGTGTAAAAAGGTGCGTCACTAGTTTGTTTTGTCAAAAATAAAAATAAAAAGAAGAAGCTCATATATAATTTTTAAGCTATTAAAACACATAGGCAACATAATTCATTACACTCAATACAGCTTTAGTATAAAACTTATAATTTATGAGGTGATGTTAATAGCATAAATTAATATACCATTTCTCTTAAAATCTACAATAAGTATTCTGAAAGCTCATTGGGGAAGGAAGTTTTTAAATAAAAGTTTTAAAGCTGTGCATGATGGGAAAGGATTCTGTATGCTGAAGCTGAGATGAGAGCCTGAAGAAGAAAGGAAAAAGTCCTCGGCGAGATACCACGGGCTATGAAACCAAATGCTTTCTCTTTCTTGAGCTCTCATCAATGATGAGTCACCTTTAGTTTCTTTTAAACTATTTTCTTATTTTAAAAACTGCCCTAATTTCCGCAAGGAATCCCTGAGACATACTCAACACTATACAGTGAGAAGAGCTATCACTGTTGAGAAGAACTGATTCAACCCTTTGGAACAGAGGCACACACTGTCAGCAGGTGTCAAGCTCTCTACTGTGTTAGCACTAACCCGCTGGAGCGCCCGTACCTTCATGATACAGGCTGGAGTCATTTGGGGGCAAATCAGTCTATTCCCCAAGGAAAAACAATGGTGTGGCCTTGAGCTGTACTGGTGCCTTCTGCCCTGCGTGTTGAAACGTTTTCCATGGGGAACTTGGGGTGCATATAGAGCTTAGGTCAGTGGTCCCCAGCTTAAAAAGCAAACAAACAAACAAACACATAAGAACAACAACAAAAACCAATGAAAAAAGATTATACCACTCTTGGGCCAAGATGAGTGCGGCTCACGTGTGTGCATGCGCACACTGCAGCACCGGGGATGAGCGTGCAAAACAGGCAGAGGAGGGAAGGAAGGAAGGAAGGAAGGAAGGAAGGAAGGAAGGAAGGAAGGAAGGAAGGAAGGAAGGAAGGAAGGAAGGAAAGAAAACATGCTGTCCCACTGGCCTTACAACCAGCTTTTGTCTTAGAAGACTGCTCTTCACACAAACTTCAGATCAGTCAAAGATCATCTTGGATCTGTTCTTCTAGCCACTCAACACATTACTGATGCTCTGGAACACGGGTAAATAAAGTCACGACACGTCTTCTCTCTGAAATGCCACATCTATTTTACTTGCTCCTTATCACAGTGTAGAGGGGAAAACTAACCAAGACAAACGATCCAAGTGAAAACAAGTGGCTCCCTAACCCTAACCCACAACTGCAGCGTTAATGACACTGGCTGTTGGAAGAGCCATGACTAACAACCAGAAGTTCAGCTCTTAACTCGCTGGCCAGGGGGATTGCTTAACAGATCTCCATCTGTGCTCTTCACAGAGACCGTATTATACACATTGTGAAAGACAGCGTTTAAAATATTCCTTTAATTAAAGTGTGATTTTTGGTTCCCGCCAGAATAAAATAATATGGGGACGCTTAATGAAGCCAAAACTATTAAGCAATCATTATTTCTTTTCTACTAGATTAGAGGGAGGGTTTGGTTATTTTTCAAGTTATTGAGAGGGGAAAAAATGAATAACTTTTCATAAGTGACTTTCCCCATGAAATAATTTTGACAGGAAGAAACCTTTACAACAGTGTGGGAGCAGTAATGAAAGAGATACAAAAGAGGATTCACTCCAACTGAACTCAAAGGTGTTTCCAAACTTCTTCATTATACTTCCAGAGTTGTACTTGACCATTCAACAAACCACTCTTAGATTATTCTACACATGTCAGCTACAGAATAGAATTTATCTTTTTAAGTCTAAGAAGAAAAGATGGAGAGCCTAAAAAAGTAAATACTTTTAAAATTCCAATGAATTCCAAACCTATGAAATAGTTTAGTGTTAATATCCTCACACTCTGCAATGTCAAAACAATGCATAACCATGCTCGGAACTCAGCTAGAGGGAGGCAGTGGCTTCAAAGAGGTGCTGCAGATGAAGCCAGCCCACCCACTGCTGGCCAGGATGCCAAGGCGCAGGGAAGACTGCAGGTCAGATTCAAGGAACACACAGTAAGGGCTTCACCTCTGTGTGATTCAATTCTAATGCCAGTTTATAACACACTATGCAACAGGCCAACAGAAAGAAATCTAGGTTCTTTCGTGTAAAAGAAACTGTATGCCCAGGATGCCTAGAGAGCAGACATGGTTTCCTTCCTAAACAAAGAACTGACTCTGCTGTGTGGATTGTGAGCATGGACTAACAATGAGCTTTGGAAAAGTTTTAGTGTGACTCACAAGAGGGGAGAATCCATAACCTTCAGGTGAGAGTCTGGTTTACTTGAAAAGATTAATCTTATAAATAGTTATTTGGCAAAGATAAAGTATTAGCTGTCCCTAGCCTTACACCACTAAAGATGGTAACATCAACTTTAAGGAATCTAAAACGATCACTTTCCAACTCCATCTCCAATGACTATATGATTCTCATTAAAGCATAATCTTCTCACGGAGGGGCACTAGACACACCACATTGCCTGCCAACATGGAATTGCTGTCATTTATGAAGCAGGAATACTTCACACGGTAGGCTCACTAGAGAAAGCAACCTTTGCTTATCAGCTATGCGATGATAACCACATAATTTTTCCATTGCATAATCTTTGTCACTTGGTGGTCTACCTGTAACTGCTATTTACTATCCTCAATTGCTGCCTAGCTGTGTAACCTACCAAGGTGTGGAAATTGCTAAGGCATTTTTACAGAAGAAACAAACAATGTCTTGAGTACTTTACTAAAATAACATTAACAATCAAAGGAGAGAAAGCCCATCTTCCCTTCAGATACCAGAGATTACAGTTGCTGACTATCAGATTCTCAGAGCACAGAATGCAATGCATTCATTATCTGCAGCAACTTCAAAAATTAAATCACAGTAACACAATCTAACTGGCCTTTAGAAATGGTCCCAGAGAACTGCAGAGACAGAGGGAGCCTTCACTGTCACTGTTTCTTATGTACTGAACACTATAACAAAAGCTAGCATCTATCTACCCCATTAGGACCTTGTGTAAGGTTTGTTTTTGATTCCAGTATTGCCTTACATTAACACAAGTGCTATGTAAAAGCTGCTTAATTTTTCTTTGCATATTAATACCCCACCTACTATTAAGCGACTAGAACTGCTTCAATAACTAGAAGAGAAACTAGAAGTGGATACCTCTGGGCTTATAGATAGATATTCTTCCAACAGGGGACTCACAAGAAAAGCAAGCTATAGGCTTGGATGTTAGTTCTGAAATAGAAGAAAGTGTACTTTCTGCTAATTATCCGGTCCTATACCAGTACTGCCCTCTCTTCAGCTATTGTCATGGGCATCTACACAAAAGCAAGTTTACTCAATATTTTTGGTGTGAAGCTATAACCGGCAACATTCCTGATCACTTCATGCCTTCTTACTCAAAAGCAAAGAAGGGCTTTTAAATGCACATAAAACAGAAAACTGCAAACAATAAAAAGGTGCAACCAACTGCAAACTCAGTTTTGACAACTAAAGAATTTTCAGCAGCTAATGTAGGGACAAAAAGGCAGTAACAGTCCAAATTGACTACCCATGACTTTCACTGTCAAAATGAGAGCTTGATAAGGAAGTCCAGGGCTGCTCTGCTTCAATCTTCAATTGATACACAATGGAGACAAAATAAATTTTCTGGGAGTACACAGTCATCTGGTGATTATTATGATGGGATTTGAAAACAGCTTAGCAAACAAAATGATACTTTTGAGGTGAAGTAACCACACATTATCATTTCATTACAGTGCACTGACATGAAAAAAGCTACTGATATAAATTCACAGGTGAGAAATAGTCAGAAAGCTGTTTCTCACTATTCAGGAGAGAAGTTCATGGTGATACCAAATATAATTTTGCTTTGTGACATAATTTATAATTTAGAAATTTCTCAATCTGCAAAAATGGCAATGCTATTAAAATAAATGTTCCAATTAATTAACATGATTTTAAAAAAAAGTAAATATATTACAAACATATTTTGCCCTCCCTCAATTCAATAAATACAAATTAGGGCATATCATGATTTTGTGACTTTCCCTCCAGAAGCTCAGGCACATGGTATCTGCATAATGCCTGCCCATCACCACGATTCCGTCACAAGATAGAGAAAGCAAAGCCTGCAACAGAAGGGACTGGCTAGAACTAGCATGGCATGAAGAAAACACACATAACAAGGAGGAAAAGATGTTCTGACTTTTACTTGTTAGGAAGGAATTATGATCAAACAGTCCCTGACAAAAGACTTACTGTACCACATCATTAATAGATATGTTGTCTTATTTTTTTAATATACATATGCAAATTAGATTGAACTCAGGTGTGAATACCCAATGGTATCCAAAGGGACAGTGAAACCTCAGCAGACAAGAGTAGACAGTGAAGCTCCGCCCTTCTCTGGAGGGAAGGCAGGCAAGAAGAAACCTCACACATCACTTCATAGTCACCAACTTACTGCACTAACCAATACAATTTTTACCCTAAAACCTTGGTACTTTAAAAGAATTTCCAAATTTACTGCACCTTAAGTACTTAAATTATTTTAAAAGCACCTAAGGTAAGTCAAAATTGTGTCTAATGTCCATATTCTGCTTTGAAAGAAACTTTAAAATGTGTGTCCTTCCGATATTACACATCACTTCACAACTGGTACACGGCTTCAGCACGTGTCCTCAACAGTTCACAAGTCTCACCAAAGAATCACAACTGTAAACATTTAAAAACTAGGAGCAAATGACAGACCAAGCAGGTCACAGATGTCATCTTTCAAACCTATCTGGTCTAGCCTGCTTTTTCACATCAAAATATTTTCTTTAATTACAATTTGCAAATGTGTTCCATGAGTGAGGGATTTTGAAACAAATACACATGGAAAAGGTATAGTGACTGTGAGACCCTAACCCTGAGCAGCCCTGTGGCCACTTGAGATTAGTTGCCATGACACTCCCTGTAACTGATGTGAATTCAGCCTTTTGTGGCTCCTTTCTTCATAGGCTAATCTCTAGCAAGAAAGGGCTGTGCTATCACTAGCAAAACACCCCCTCCCTATTCAGGATGCTTTAGTCAACTCAGCAAGAAAGAAGGACCAACCTTGCTAGGTATGAGGCGGAAGGAGCGAAAAAGAGCCTTTTTCTGGGAGAAAACAAAACAAAGCGAAACCATGACAGCTACGAAACACACACAGGGGTGAACACGCATTCACAGGCAGTCAAGAGACGATTTTCTTTTCAGTTAACCACATCACAATTAGGAATGGCATCCAGGCCTCACCACGGTGTTTGGCAGGTGGTGCTACGTCAGAGCTTTGATTTGCCTCCACACACCATCTGCTACACAGGATCTCAATAGGACCACTCTATCTAGAACAACCTATGTAAAAACCTGGCTAGAGAATGGAAATCATTGATCTGAACACTAGGAAATAGTAAAGGGCACTGGTAATCTGAGGTATCTTCCACTTCTAGGACTTGCTGAAAAAAAAAAATCAATCCTATCCAGTCACTGTGCTGAGCCACCAGAGAAAACCGCCAGGCCGAGAGGACCCGCCAGGAAGGAAAGAGCACCAGTGCTGAGGAGCACATGTGAACACTGACGCAAGGTCCACTCCACGGCCACTTGTTGACTGGGAAGGGGGAGTCCCGCTAATCCCCGCTGTTACTTTTAAATCTTCTGTAGGAAAAGAGGAAAAGGGTGCAAAAGAGGAAACAAAGATAGAAAACACCAGGTTCCACCTGCCTGCAAGCACACAGACTCGCTCAGTTGGGGGTGGGAAAAGGGGGAGATGCATTATTGGTACTTGTAGCCGTGGCACCTGTTACTGTGAAGCCTGTAGGAGGGGCTATCGAGCTGTGGCTGGGCTGCAGGTCCTTAGGAATGCCACTGTGAGAACTCAGCTGGTGGCCGAAGGCTGCGCTGAACTGCGGGAGTTGCTGCTTGGGAGAGGTGGAGGCCATTAGTTCAGCGGAAGGCCCCATGCCACTGAAGCTGGTCTGTGGTAACCCCGGAAGCACACTGGAACTGCTTGGGGTAACGGTGGCGAAGGCAGGCTGTGTGGTCTCTGAGTTGGACGTGGTGGGTGGCGTGGAGAGGGAAGTGGAAAGAAGGTGTCCATCCGCGCCGAGGAGGTTGCTAAATGCAGAGGGATCGCCAAGGTTGACGGGGAGATTCCCCCAGTGAGTTCTGGGGTTGACCACTCCTCCAAGTGGCACCTCAAGCTGGGTGGGGAGCAAGTGCTGTGCCATGATGGGCATCTCTGCTGAAAAGGTAGCTGCCATATTATCACCAGAGTAAGATGTGTGGGGAGAGGTGATATGGTCACTGTAGGGCGACGGCACATGCTCGCTATCATAATGGCTTCCATGGGGTGAGGAGTGTGAATGATCACTGCTGTATTGCTGTCGTGAGGTGATTAGGTCATCTGCCTTGCTCAGCAGCTGGGCAGGATGTGGCCTCTGGGAGGCATGGCTGCCATCATGAAGTCCATGAAACTGTCCTGGGAAGGCTCTCTCCCCAAGTGCACTCTGGCTGAGCAGAGTGGCAGAAGTAAGGCCAACGCTGGCTGGGGCAGAGAACTGCCCCTGGATCTGCCCTGCCAGGGGTGTGGGTGGGTTAGACAGGGTAGCAGAACGGAGGAGGTTCTCGTCCAGCTCCAGACTGGAAAAGCTATCGTGTACTATACGTCCATTCAGTAGCTCCCCTAGGTCCGTGTTTACTTCTCGGCTCAAGGACTGGATTCCCGATGCATCAGTACCCGCCGAGAACACCCCCATTCCTCTATCTGACAACCCCTGAACTGGCACACCATCTGACTGGGTAAGTACCCCAATTGTACTCAGGCACTCGAGAGAAGTTACAGCTTGCAAGGCCCGCTCAAGCTCCTCGGCTTCTTCGGTGGTCGGGAGGAGGTCTCCATTCTTTCCTGCATCAACCAAAGCCGGCAGTATCAGTAGAGCTCATAGCTGACTCACAAAGCAAAAGTCACATGTCTGAGTGCTTTAAACACTCTCCTATCACAAAAGAGTCCTTGCCTGGCTTGATGGCACACACCTTTGATCCCAGAACTAAGGAGGCAGAGGCCGATGGGTATCTAAGTTCTAGGTCAGCCTGGTCTACCTGCTTCTGCTTCCCGAGTGCTGGGATTAAAGGCACACACCACCATCAACCAGTGAAAACAGGTTTCTTATAATGGGATTAGAAAGAAAATGTGAAATACTAACCTACAGGACAGGCCTCAAATGTTAGCTCTCCTGGAATTTCAATTATCATCTTTAATTTATTTATTCTCAGAAATCTACCATAAATGTTTTTTGTTGTTGTTGTTGGTTTGTTTTCAGACATGATTTCACTATGTAGCCTTGGCTGACCTAAAACTTATTATATAATCCAGGCTGACCTCAAAGTCATGCAGATCCACCTGTCTCTGCCTCCCAAGTGCTGAGATTAAAGGGTATGCCAACAAGTCTAGCCTGGCTCTGTTAAATTCTTGTCATGTTTATTTATGAGTAAGTGTGTCTGTGTCAATTTCTGCCACATGCATGTGGGTGCCTGTGGAGGCCAAGGTGTTGGATCTGGGCGCTGGAGTTACAAGCAATATTAAGTTGCCCAATATGGATGCTGTGAATTAAACTCAGGCCCTCTGGAAGAGTGAAGACACTCTTACCATTGAGCATTCTCGCCAGCCCTCAGAATGTTTAATTCTTAAAAAATCTAAAAGGTTGCCAATTTAAAACTCAATGTCCATTTGATTATTCATTATTTTTCACCTAAAATGATACTGATACCATTAACATAAACAAGGTGGTATAGAACAAGACAGGTATATATTACTTTGTCTATACTTACATTCTCTGGCTGAAGAAGAGAACACAGAATCCTTGTATGTATTTAATGGTAAGCACTTAGTTTCTTTCAAAAGTTACCTTTTCTTTCTTTCTTTCTTTCTTTCTTTCTTTCTTTCTTTCTAAGATTTACTCTTTCTAATTACCTGGATATATGCATCTATAATTGTCTGTCAACAAAGAGTGCAATACCAGTGGTATCCAGAAGAAGGTGTCACATTTCTGGGAGCTGGAGTAAGAGGTGGTTATGAGCAACCTGGTGAGGACAACCAACTTGTGTCCTTTACAAAAGCAACAAGTGCTCTTAACAACCTCTCCAATCCCATGAGGGCCTTTCAAAGTTGTTTCATACTCTTTAGTCTTCCTCCTTGCCTGGTGGTGCATACCTTTAATCCCAGCACTTGCTGGGTTATAGACATGCACCACCATGCCTGGCTCCTAAGACAGGTCAAGTTGTAAAAGATTTTAATAAACTGAAAGTTGAATGGCACTTTCAAAACATTAAGGAAAATTATTCACTTTAATGGAACAAAATTACATAGCTATTAAAGTATAAGTCTAAGTATGTAATATAATTAAATAAATTATGTGTTTCTCACCTTCTAAAAACAATTTTAGTGATTTTTTTTTCTATTCATAGTGACAGACATTTTATGTCTAGGAAAACATTTCAGATCCACTGCAAAAGGCTACTTTATTTTTAAAAATTAATAATAAAGTGGCCAGTAAATGGCTCAGTGGGTAAGGGTACATGCAACACAGACGCAGCAATCTGAGTGTAATCCCTGGAGCCCATGGAAAGGTTGAAGAAGAGAGTGCACTCTCCCAGCTATCTGCCCTCCACATTCATGCATGTTGTACAAACCTATACACACATCATGCATGCAGCAATAATAAAAGTAATTAGTATTTCCAGGATGGATTTGGTGACACAGGGCATAATCCCAGGACTCAGAGCTAAGACAGGGACATTGTGATTTCATGTGGTTAACAACCTGTCTCAACAGCCAAAAATAAAATAAAACTTATTTTCCTTTTTATGAATCATTTCTAAATCAGTTCCTTAAGTAAAACATTAACCATACCTTCAAAAAAATCAAAATCTTGTAAGTCATCAGGCAGTCGTGGCAGGACATCCGCAAAGTCTTCATGGTTCAATTCTAAGTCATGCGGAATGTCACTGATCTCGTTGGCAATGTCATCCGGCAACTCATCGGCACTCAGCTCTGGCGTAGAAGGGCTACTGCAAAGACAGCGCAGCTAGTCTAGATGCCCATGTCCCCTGGCTACGTGTTCCAAGTCCTCTAGACATTCAGTACAAACACAGGAGCCAGTAACAGAAAGCAACTCCTCCCAGAGCTGCTGCTGGCACATGCCCATGGTTGGCACATGCCTGCCATCCCCACACTTGGGGAGTAAAGGCCAGAGAATCAGAAATTTAGGTCACCGACAGTTACATAGGTGGAGTCACTCATCTAGGAATACATGAGACTGTCTTAAATACATAAATGAATGGATGAATGGATAAGATTTCTCCTCACTTTATGAGAAGGAAATTTGAAAACAAAACATTCCTACAGCCTTTACCCATTAAGATGGTCATTACCACATCATAGTTCACTTCAAATTAATAGAATGAATCGCCATTTAGTATATTTTAGCAAAATTTCAAATCTGATCAAGATAATAACTTTAAAAATGAAAGAAATGGACAAGATTGAACTGAAATTCATCTGATCAAAATGTTTGTCTGCCAAAATTTAAAAAAAATATTTCTAGTGAAACACTTCTATTATAATGTGTATAATTTCTGTTAAAACACAAAAAACTGGGAATACAGTTATATTCTCAATTTCTGCAACTATTTTCCTTGCCATAATAAAAAGCTGACATTAATGAATATGTACTGCAAACTTGGCCAACCACTGGCAATTCTGTCTATGACTGTTAAAGGGTAAGGGGCTGTAGTTTTTTACAAGTGACCCTGAACCCAGCAGGCTGGTGTTCTGAGGTCACAAGGCACAGAGGAGGTACACCCACTGCCCCCACTAACCGGATCTGCGAGGCCTCCACTGGCAGTGAGACGCTGGTGGGCATGCTGAGGTTCCCTTGGGGCACTGCAGGGGGAATTGGTTTCTGGGGTCGTCGAGGTCCACGCCTTCTCTTTTTCTTGTGTTTTTTGGTAAGTGCAGGGGGCTTCGTTTTTTTCCTAGGTTTCCTCTGTTGCTGGTGCTGAACTTTACGGGAGTTATCTCCTCTCAAGAAATTATCCTTTGAAATGAACAGAAGATTTTTTTTAAAACTGACCCCATCCCTCACTCCTGGTATGTTATGCACAACAAGGTGATTACAGGTCGGCAAGCCTCTCTACATTTCAAAACTAGAAGAAAGTTCAACTTTTTACCCAGAGAAATGAGCTGGGGTGTATAGCTAAGCAGGTATGGTGGCTGCCGGGCATTTTCAGGGCCCTGGGTTGGATCCCCAGCACCACCCATCACCGCCTAAAACCAGGTGTGGTGGTGCTTGCCAGTAATCCAGGCACTTGGCACACAGTAGCAGGAGGGTCAGAAATTCAAGGTCAACACAAGACCCTGTCTCTGAAAGAAAAAGTTAAATATTTGAAACATCTCTTTTACCCAATTTAAATATTATATAATACTGATACATCACACTATTATACTAATAATTTTTGTGTACAAGTTAAAATAAATTTATCTAGGGCCAAAGACAAGTCTCAGTAGTTAAGAGCACTGGCTGCTCTTCCAGAGGATGGGGATCCCATTCCCAGCACCCACATTATCTGTAACTCCAGTCCCAAGAGACTTGATGCCCTCTTCTAGCTCTACAGGCATGAAGCACACATGTAGTCCACATACATACATGTATGCAAAACAGTCATACACATAAAAATAATTATAAAAAAACTGAGATTATCTGGACTATTAATAGACTATATAATGCCTAAAGCTATATACAATAAATATACAAAAAAATTAACTTAATTTACATCAACCTCCCCCCACCCCTGACACACACATATACAGACACTTAAAGACATTTAGAGGGCTGGGGTGTAGTGCAATGGTAGAACACTACCTAGTATGTGTAAGCCAAAGTTTGATTGCCAGCAAAGCCAACAAACAGACAAGCCACTATGATAGTTTATGCTTTCCAAGAACTTACCCTTCCCATGGGGAAACACCAAAAGGACACATAAACACAAGACACAGCAAATGAACAACAGTAGATCTTAAAAATGTGGACAGATAAGGGGCCAAAGGAAATAGCACAAACAAGAAAAAGCTTACAAGTTAACTGGTGAAGAAGCTTGGGGCTAGAGCATGTATGATTCTGAATATCTCAATTTTAAACTTGAATAGGTGATGAGACTTTTTTTTTTTTCCATCCAGAGGAGTCATTTTTGAGAAGAACACGTGACAACCATGTTACAAGATGAGCCAGCCTGGTAGCAGTGTAGGAATAAATAGGTGGAGGTCAGGGTTCCCTTCAGAGGGCTGGCCATCTCAACAGTCAAGAAAATGAATAAAAAAGCAAGGGCTCATCAAATTGAAATTCTTTTTTTTAAAGGTTAGTCCATTATTTACTTCTTTGTGTGCATGTCTACATGAATATATGTACATGTGTGCACAGGTATGTGCACATGCCAAGGTCAGAATAGAGTACTGGATCTCGGGGAGCGGATTCCAGGCATCTGTGAGGTGCCCAGCCTGTTCTGTGGGTACAGAACTCCAGTCCTTGTGATTGCAAAGTAAGAGGTCTTAGCCAATGAGCCACCTACAGCCCTAAATTTGGATTAGTTTTGTTTTGCTGCTGGGAAGTGAACCCAAGGCTTCACACATGCTAAGCACATTGAGTTACACCCTCAGCTCCAACAGAGAACTCTTAATATTTGAAAGTTCCTTTGATGTGGTAAGGTTAAAAGGAATATGAGACTAAAACCTCTAGAGATTCTAGTTGGGTTGACTGTCTAATGACAATTACCATTAGTTCAGTGGTTGTACAACCTTCCAAAACTGCAATTTGACATTGGCCTACAAATTTGTTAGGCTGCACTTGTAACTCTGTGTGTGTGTGTGGGGGGGGGGTGCATGGCCCATATTCCTTCATTAACAACAGAAGCTGCAAATTCAGAAGAGGAGTCCAGGCGTTTATTTTAGCTCACATACCATTTGAGATATGTAGGTTTCTAGAGAGCCAAAGGAAGGGGGTGGAGGTGCAGACTGAGGGGTCCATGGCACAGTGAGAGACATTTAAGAAATGTATACGGGCAGGAAAGCAGTAACAAAGAGAAAAATAAGGACAAGGCTGTAAAAAAGCTGTGTGTGAAGAGGTAAAGGAAGACAGCCTCTAAGCAATCAGAAACTGCCAATTCCGCTTACTCTCAGCTGTCTCAAATATCTGAGACAGGCTCAATATTTGTATCACCCCAAAGTTTGAGTTCCTAAGCCTCAATGAGATGATATCAGGAAACAGGGCCTTTAGTCACTAGAAACCTCATGAGATGGGTCATGCGCACATAAAAGTGATACAAGAGAGGAGCTGCTGGGCCTTCTCTGCAAACCAGAAGCAAACCCCATGGGGAAAAGTCAGGTGTTGTGGAATATTACTTTAATTAGATAAAGATGTGTTACATTTATTTATGCTGCATTTGTTTAATTATGTAAAGATTTGTTGCTTTGCCTACCTAAGGCACCTGATTGATCTAATACAAAGCTGGACAGCCAATAACTAGGCAAAAGAGGGATAGGCGGGGCTGAGCAGAGAGAGAATAAGTAGGAGAAGGAATCTAGGCTCAAGAGGAGAGAGAACGAGAGAAAAACAGAAGGAAACCCCCAGAGCCAGGCAGCCACAGTCAGCCAGACACAGAGTAGGACACAGAGAATGAAAGAAAGGTAAAAAGCCACAATGCAAACTGTAGATGAAGAGAAACAGGTTAAATTAAATTATAAAAGCTAATGCGACAACTAAGGCAGAGCATTCATAATTAATATTAAGTTTCCATGTCATGATTTGGGAGCTGGTTGGTGGCCCAAAAGAAAGCCTGTTGCAAAGAGGCACTTTCTATCAAGCCTGACAACTGGAGTTTGATCCCCAGAACCCACACAGTAGAAGAAGAATCTACTTCTCCATGTTGTCTTATGTGCCCACACATGTGCACATAAGCCAAGCAAATAAAGAAATGTGAAGATCAAAAGAGAGCAAATCCCATGACCTCCCAAGTCTACATTCCCATCATTTATTCTTCACACTCTGTCCTTGGAGTCCTAGCATCTGCTAAGTATGTTTCCATTGTGTTTAAGCCAGCCACTCTACTATTCTGTGACAGCTACCTGAACTAAGACACTATATTCCAGAAATTGTAAGATGCACATTTTACTATCTCTACAATTAAGCAGCATTTTATAACTGCTGGCATCTTAGCAGTTGCTGTCACAGGTGGCATTACCTACAAACACATCAAACATGGTTATAGTTCATATCATCACTGCTTGAATTAAGTTAAACAAACTGCTGGTACAGGTTAGGAAAAAGCAACAACAACAAAAGTGTACCAGAAAGGCACAAAGAGTAGCAGGGTATAAAATTGATGCTAGTGAAACAAATATTCATTATTGAAGAGCAAACCACAAACTTTCTTCTCAAAGCAAAAACCCATGAGAAAGGAAAACAAAGTACAAGGTAGATTAAGTTGTATTATAGTCTCAGAACAAAGAAAGCACTGCCTTTTGCATGTCAACTATACAGCTGAGACTAGGAGGAAGATTAAGATCTTGTATATGAACAGGTCTTTAATAGTTATAAAATAAAAGTTCCAACTTACCAAAAACCATTATATTTACAACTAGAGACTTTTTTTTTTCCTGGTGACAGTGTTTAAAAAGTTGATACCATTCTTCATTCTATGAACCCTAGAATAGCTCTTAACTAAATAGCTAAGAAGCTTCAGATAGTAGTATTTGGACACTAACACCATTAGCATCAAATTCAGAAAATCAGGGAAAAAGACAAGGAAAGCACAGAATCAAGAATTCTGAAAGGAATACTTCATGTAAACACAAGTGTAGACTCTTGAGGGTTTTTGTTTTGTTTTGCTTTGTTTTGCTTTTTCAAGACGGGTTTTCCCTGTATAACAGCCTTGGCTGTCCTGGAACTTGCTCTGTAGACCAGGCTGGCCTGAAACTCAGAGATCCACCTGCCTCTGCCTCCCGAGTGATGGGATTACAGGCGTGTGCCACCACTGCCCAACACAAGTATAGGCTCTTAACTGACAGATTTATTTTTAAAACCAGTGCTGAAGATATGGCAGAGTGCTTGCCGATGCAGGAGGCCCAGGCCTTGTGCCTGTCACCTCAGCACTCAGGAGGTAGAAGTTGGAAGATCAAAAGTTTACTGTCTAAAAACAAAAATCTGTCTAGATAGACTTCCAATCCCTAGAAGAGGAAGGATACAGAGGTCATGAGGGAGCAGAAAGGTTGAGTCAGGTGTAGATTAGAAGAAAGGATATGTGATAGGTAGGGTTTTAGTTGGGGGTGGCAGGGGGGGAAAGGAGGGAGAAGGGAACTGGGATCGTCATGTAATTCAATCTTGTTTGTAATTCAAATAAAAAAAGATAAAAAAATCTGAAAAAAAAAAGTTTACTGTCATCCTCAGCTCCATGCTAGATCAAGGCTAGCCTGGGATACAAAAGATACTATCTCAAGCCCCCACCAGCAGCAAAAAGAAAAAAGCCCACATTAACTCCTGTTAAGTCATTAAAACAGATCCTGGTCTTGGATGAATGTGTGAAGGAGTTGGGTCCTACACTGCTGTGAAAGCCACAGGGCCCCATCAACAGGGATCTATGGAATCATCAATCACGGCCCATAAGAGGGTTCAAAAGCACACAGAGGCCTGGGAAATGGCCTGCTCGGCATTGCTCAAGCATGAGGACCTGAGCTTAAGATTGCTAGTACCCCCATACAGAGCTAGGCACAGCACCAGGCATCTATAATCCCAGCACTGGGGTAGCAGAGACACGCTCATGTCCGAAATTGGCCAGGCAGCCAGTTAAGCCAATCAGTGGGCTCCAGGCTCAGTAAGAGAAGCTGCCTCAAAAGATGAGGGTGAGAAGAACCTACAAAGACACTCACCATCAACCTTTGTAGCATCTACACATGCGCGCGTGCGCGCACTCGTGTGCACACACACACACACACACACACACACACACACACACAGAGAGAGAGAGAGAGAGAGAGAGAGAGATACACACAAAAGCATACAGGAAGCTAGCTGGTGTGGTGGCTCTCACATTTGTAATCTTAGTACTCAGGTGGCTGAGGTACGAAATTTATGTGTTCTAGTCTGGCTTGAGTACAGAGTGACACCCTGGCTCAAAAAAACTCAGAAACACACACACACCACAAAAATATCCTTCATTCACATAAAGCCTGAATAAGCTTTTTAAGAAAAAATGCCCACACTGAAGATATATTTTAATTAAATAGGAAAATGAATTCACCATTTCTACATTTAGTATTCAAATTTTTCAAAACATGATCCTAACAAGGAACTAAACACAAAAGAAGTTCTTGGTAAAGCCAGTATGTTAACAAGGGGACAGACCAGGAAGGTGGCTTCTCTGCCTAACTGGACCCTTAGCTAATGAACAGGCCAGAACCACAATCCAGCCCCCAGTCCCTCACACTGAAGTGTGCTCAGAGAACACAATGCACTTCCTCAGGCCTGTGGTACAACAGGTACTCAACATAGTAGTATCTTACAACTGCTTGATGGACGGAAACAAGATAACTCAACTTTGAGGGTTTTGTTTAGTTTTTTTCTATGCTGACATCAACTCAGAATCTTGTTCACGACAGGCAAGTATGCAACTACTAAGCTAACTTCACCCCAAAACAAATCACTGTAAACAAGTACATAATTCAAATATATACTAATTCAAATGTGTCTCTCCTCTAAATTATTCTAACTTAATTAGGATTCATGATGCCAGCACTAATAAAAGCAATAACTAAGTTCAACAAAATTATAGAAAGTCTTGGTATTTTGCCTGAATTTTATTAAATATCCAGATCATTCCCAGAACTGCATATAAAAAAGCAAAACTGAAGGCAAAACTCAAAAAAATCTGCTATGTATCAAAAAATATATCTTTATTATATGTATGTATGTGAGACATAAAGAATATGGTCAGATCATTTTAAAAAGTATCTTATCTAAGTAATTACGGTTTAGTGTTTTTTCCCTGAAACACTGAGGGACCACAAGTGTTTTGAGGTTTTTGAATATTTGCATAGAATTTACATATGGTAACCCTTATTCCAGAAATCTTAAAGCCAAAATCCAGAGGGCTCCAAAACCTGTACTTTTTGGTGTCAAATGTCATCTTATAACCTTATAGATTTGGGGTTTTTAGATTAGAGACATTCAAACTTCACTAAATATTCCCAAACCAAACAATGGGGGTGTGGTTTTGTTATAAAAACAGCCTCAAATTCAAGAGGTCAACACAACATTTTGAAATTTTATAGTCAATGGCAACACAATACAGAGTTTCAAAGTATTAAAATCACTGTTTTAACAATACTTACACACACACACATATATATGCAAATATATATAATTATCACATATATATCTAGTAGCTTTTAATTCCCAGTAGAAATAATCATCAACAAACTCTAAACTTACCATTTTTTTGGCATGTTCTTCACACAGGGGTGTCTGGTGTGTGATGTCAAACACTGGCACAGAGCACTGCTGTCCATCTGCAAACTTGGCAGTGCAGCTGGAGAACAGCTGCTGAGAGCGGTTCAACAGGATGTCTGGGGTTTGTAGTCAGGGAGAAAGCATGCTCATACTGTTTAACTCTTCGATGTCTGAATAGAAGTTGCTACTTTCCTTACTTGTGTTTTATTAGCAAGAATTGTACTGTCTATAAAGTTAATGTACCCATCCAACTGCTGACAGGGGAAAATGATAATAGTGACATATCATCATTATTTATTAATTGACACTTCTGAAGGAGTCTACTTAGCTAGCAGGCTCTCAGCATTCTGAACTAATTTCTGTAATTTGAATAAACAAAATCATTTTCTTGTTAACATGCTCCTTAAATCCCCACTAAAAAGATGGTTCTGAAACCAGCAATTAGGTATTTTATTTTATCTACGTATGAGTGTTCTGCCTGAATGTTTATATGTACAGCAGGTGTCAACTCCACTGAAATGGACGGTTGTAAGCTACCATGTGGGTTCTGAGAACTGAAATCAGGTCTTTTGGAAGAGCAAGCAACAAGTGCTCTTAACTGATGAGTCATCTCTCCAGCCCCTAGAATCAGCATTTAAAAAGAAAACTTTCAGCCAAGCATTGGTGGCGCTCACCTTTGATACCAGAACTTGGGAGGCAGAGGCAGGAGGATCTTTGTGAGTTTGAGGCTATCCTGGTCTACAGAGCCAGTGCCAGGAAGACTCCAAAGCTACACAGAGAAACCCTATCTTGAAAAAACAAAAATGAAACAAAACAAAAATTACAATTAAAAGAAAAAGAAATAGATGAAATACAGTGGGAGAGTAACATGTGAAAGACTCTGACTTCAACTCCCAATACCATGGGTTAAAAGCATACAGCCCCAAGCCAGGTGGTGGTGGTGCATACCTTTAATGGGACGTGTGCATGTGCGCGTGTGTGCACATACCACACACACACACACACACACACACACACACACACACAGAGGCAGAAGGATCTCTGTGAGTTCCAGCCTGGTGTAAGAGTGATTTCAAAAACAAACAAAAAAAGCATACAGCCCCAAAGGAGTTAGTGTGCCACTGCCTGCTTAATGCATTACAAAGGATACGCTGGAAACAATGTCTGGTGAAGGGAAGGGCCTGGTTAGAGCACTGTTCACCCTTCACTGTTCCGCTGCACGCTGCTGGCTCCACCTCCTTCAACTTGGTCTGGCTGAAGCTAAAAAAGGAAAGAGGCAAAATTCATTTTAAGTGCTCTAACAACCCAGGGAAATTGTTTTTGGTTTTTTAAAAAAAAAAAAAACGCTTGTCTTACTATTTTTATGTGTGTGCATGCACAAACAAGCATAAGCCACAGCAAACCCGTGGAGGTCAGAGGACAACTCCAGGGAGTTGGGTCTCTCTTTCCACCCTGCAGGTTCTGGGGATCAAATGAAGGTCATTAGGCTAGATGGCAAGTCTTTACTCACCGCCCATCTCCTTTTGCCCCAAGGATAAATATTCAACACTGTTTCTCCAAGACCCATGCTGTAACTATCTTTACTATGCACAGTCATCAAAATACAAGTATGAATTAAAGAAAGCAAGTATTACAATTATCAACCGTGTTATTTAGCTGTCCTACTAACATTCAAGGCAAATAGCTAAATCATAGTGGTTTTGAAATACATTAATCAAGCTGGGTGGTGGCACACACCTTTAATCCCAGCACTTGGGAGGCAGAGGCAGGTGGAACTCTATGAGTTCGAGGCCAGCCTGGTCTACAAGAGCTACTTCCAGGACAAGCTCCAAAGCTGCACAGAGAACCCTGCCTGGAACCCTCCCCACTGTACCCCCCCAAAAGAAATACACCAATCTCGTCATTTGTTTTTATCTTGTTTTCTGAGACAGGGTCTCCCTATGTGGCATACACTGGCTTCCTGCCTTCACCTACAGAGTGCTGGAATTGTATATATGAATCTAGACATTCTCCTTTGCTAAGTGATGAGGACCATGAAGCAGGCACACCCTCTGCACTATATGACATCTTACACAGATTACCCTAAGCCTTATCAACTTCTCACTTGTAAAGCAGAGACAATAGGTACCTTTAGCTGGCAGGGCTGCCATGGGCAGAGAGATGTGGCACACCTATACCACCTTTGGAGAACAGAGGGTGCACAGTAATCCACTGAGGTGGCTTTCACTCTCTACTGTTATCATGACCATTTGAGCACCTAGTGCCAATAAACAGTAAGTATACAAAGATACCTGAGTACATGACTGGGAAAGGGACCGTGAACATGTAGAAATGGTTAAGCTATATGTGCTTACCTGGAATGCATTTATAAAGCTTGTTACATATTACAATTCCATGGTTCATCATTTAAGTGCTATCTTTATTTTGATCATTTGGCACATAGGTCTTTTAAGCTATATTTTATCAGTATGCAATGTCTGCAGTAGGCCCTAGGTTCAGTTATCAGCATGACATAAGCCAGGCAATATGAAACAAGCCCACAATAGTAGCACTAGGAAGGTGCTGGAAACAAGAGGATCTAAAGCGCAAGCGCAGCCCTGGCTATGTGACTTTCTCAAAAAAGAAAAGACAAAATAAAAATTTTAAGGACCAGCAAAATGCTCAGTAGGTAAAGGTGCTTGCCACAAATCTGCAATCTTGAGTTCAATCCCTAACACACACACACACACACACACACACACACACACACACACACCGTAAAAGGACAAAACTGCAAAACTGGCACCTTTAATTTACACACATATTGACACACATGCAGACACACACAATTTAAAAACAAAGACCTCACAAAGGTAGAAAAGTGGATCACTGTAATATAAAATATCTTGCTGGGACAGGTGGCATGGGTGTTTAATACCAGCACTCAGGAGGCAGAGGCAGATGATTCTCTGTAAATTTGAGGCCAGCCTGGTCTACATCAAGAATTCCAGGGCAGCTGGGCAGTGGTGGCGCACGCCTTTAGTTCCAGTACTCCAGAGGCAGAGGCAGGCAGATCTCTGTGAGTTCGAGACCAGCCTGGTCTACAAGAGCTAGTTCCAGGACAGCCTCCAAAGCCACAGACAAACCCTGTCTCCAAAAAACAAAACAAACAAAAGGAATTCCAGGCCAGCCAAAGCTACGTAGTGAGACACTGTCTCAAAACAAACAAACAAGAATATTCAATTTCTTTTATTTTTTGGTGGTTTTGGGATTGGCACTAATACCACCTCAGTAGACAAACCCTCGACTGAGCCACACCACCAGCTCATATTCACAATAATTTTACACTGCTCCTAAAATAGAACTCTTTTTTAACTTTAGTAAAAACAATGCATAATTTTTCATAAGGAAAACAGTATTATATTAATATCTAAGACCCAAATTGCTTGGTCTAGATTTTTATACTATGTGGTACTCAATATAAAACACACAATTTCTCTTAACACTTTAATAAATAGTCTACTGAGCTATCTACCAAATTGTGCCATATTTCCTCATTTCTTCCTCTCTTTTGGGAGTCTCACATAGCCGAGGCTGGTTTGAAGTTCACGTTCACTAAGAAACTAAGAATGACCATGAACTCCAGAGCCCAATTCCTAGATTCTAGGATTACAGCTCTCTCTCTCTCTCTCTCTCTCTCTCTCTCTTTCTCTCTCTCTCTGAACACATATGTGTTATATGTGTGCATGCATGCACATATATGTACATGATGGGAAGGGTGAGCATGTCACAACACATTCATAAAGATCAGAGGACAATCTGTGAAGCAGGTTCTATGAATTGAACTCGAGTCGTCAGGCTTGAAGAGCAAATGGCTTTCCATGCTGGGTCATCTCACATATGGTTCAGTTTACCAATCTTTCTCATAAACCCAAAGTCATAATTTCATGATCTCTACAGATATGTTATGATAACTATGTTACTAAATAACAATATCCAAATGGCACTAAAAAGACAAAGAGAATTACTGATGTTTCATTAATCATGGCTGACATGATTAATGACAAATGACATCAAGTCAGTTTGAAAGCTGTTTGCTTGATTCTTTTTTGTTTTGTTTTGCTCACCAGTACTGGAATTGAACTTAGAACCTTATGTATCCTGATCAAGCACTCAACCTCTGAGTCACATCCCCAGCAGCCCCAACTTGGTAATTTATCATTTGGTAACACTTATCATTAATTTAAAAAAAAAAATCACTAAAGTTGGTTTGGGAGGCGTTTTGAATATTAGTACATTGTTATGCCTGGATTAAACCCACAGAACCACCAAAAAGAAAAGAATCATAAATACAGTTTTTCACACTACCAAATTGCCTCAAACTCAATTTACAGACCCTCACATCTTTGACAAGATTATTATCATGTATTAGAACTGAGGTCTACAATGCCTACATACAGAAATTGCTTTCTGCTGGAGATATAATTTCACTTATATTACACAGCTGACAGCATTCTAACACAAAATATTAGGCACTATTATTTTACAAACTGTTGAACTGAGCAAATTGTCTCAATGTTAAATTCTGTTCATCAACTGGAGATCTCAGAACTAAATACACCTTGCTTCTGTATCCATGGAAATGACTGTCTAGCACAGGAGACTTAATTAAGAGTATATAAACTAATACTTTTCAATAGTCAATGGTCCAATCAGTGATTTTTTTTTGTATGTAAACTTACTTTTTCCTATATATACACACTTAAAGTAGACACCAGAAATTATAAAAACTAAAAAGGATAAAATTTTCTTTAAATCAGTAAGGACCTAGATATTCTAAATTTGAGAAGCAGTTCCCTTGGTGGGCAGCAGGGACACATGCCTGTAACTCCAGCACTTGGAGGCCAAAGCAGTTTACTGTAAGCTTGTGGCCAGCCTGGTCTACACATCAAGTTCCAAGCCAGCCAAGGCTTCATGATAAGACTGTCTTGAGACAAAAGAAAGAAAAAAAAAAAAAAGACATTTCCTTAAAGTGACATGTTTAAGAAATTTTTAATTCAATTCAATGCTTTAAATATATATATTTCAGGTAGAACTAAAAGATAGTTATAACCAAGATAAAAATATATATTTCAGAATTATATATAAGTGAGATTAGAAAACTCAACTGACTTTTTTTTGGTTATAAACAAACTTTTTGTTTGTTTGTTTTTTGAGATAGGGTTTCTCTGTGTAGAGCTGCCCTGGAGCTTACTCTGCAGACCAGGCTGGTCTCGAATTCAGAGATCCACCTGCCTTTGCTTCCCAAGTGCTGGGATTTAAAGGAGTGTGCCACCACCACCTGCCATATAAACTATTTTTAAAAGGTATATAGCTGAATTATTATTAAAATTTCTTCATCAAAACAGCATAAAACTGACTTCTGGGTGGGAAAGATGGCTCAGCAGTTAAAGGCTGGGTGGGAAAGATGGCTCAGCAGTTAAAGGCTAAACTCACAGCCAAAATGATTTCTAATATGCAGATTTTTATTTAACAAAAACCATATTTTCAAATGAATCCTTAAGAATGTAGGACAATGGCCATGATATGCTTTTAAAAGGAAAAACTGGACACAAATCTTTTTGGTTTGGGTGGTTTTTCTTTTCTTTGTTTATGATGTGGTCTTAATCTCATGTAGCTGAGGCTGGACTTGAACTCATGACCTTCTTGTCTCAGTCTACACAGTGCTGGTATTCCAAGTGTTTGACACCATACCAGACTGATCAATAACTTTTCTTTTAAAGATTTATTATGTATACAGTATTCTGCCTGCATGTATGCCTGCAGGCCAGAAGAGGGCACCATATCTCATTACAAATGGTTGTGAGCCACCATGCAGGTGCTGGGAATTGGACACAGGACCTCTGAAAGAGCAGCCAGTGCTCTTAACCTCTGAGCCATCTCTCCAGCCTCAACAAATAACTTTTCAACAATACAGGTCATTTTTACCTTAAATACATAAAACAGAGAAAGTCTCTGTATTACACAGTCACTAAAAATCCTGTTTTTCCTAGATATTGTGGCACATGCCTGGAATCCCAGTACTTAGGAGACTGAGAAAGAACAGCACAAATTCAAGGCCAGCCTGAGTATATAGTGAGAGACTTTCTCAATAAACAAACAAAAAGAAACATAATCAACTGTGTGAACATATAAGGTAATATACGTATTAAAAGAAAGCATATAAAAATACTGTTTACCTTTATGGTTAAAAATATATAAGACGTTGAAAAACTATAATTATGTCTTTAAATAACAGGATTTTTTTTTTTTTTTTGGTTTTTCGAGACAGGGTTTCTCTGTATAGCTTTGGAGCCTGTCCTGGCAATTGCACTGGGAACCAGGCTGACCTCGAACTCACAGAGATCCGCCTGCTTCTGCCTCCCGAGTGCTGAGATTAAAGGCATGCGCCACCAATGCCCAGCTAACTAACAGAAAAATTTTAAGTATTCAATTTTGTTTTGTTTTGTTTTCAAGACAACCAATGTTCTAGGCCAGAGGAAGCAGTGTTTGCTACATCCCAGCACTCAGGAGGCTAAGGCAAGCAGATTCAGGGTTTGAAGCCAGACTGGATGACACTGGTTCACAAAACAACAAGGGAAATAACATTCTCAAATCTCTTCAATGAATAAATTCTAATGCAACTACAGGAATAAAAGAAAGAGTAAAGCTGACATTTCACTGTCAGCTCCAGGCAGCACTGTTTCTGAACAACAAAACCAATACAGTGCTCAACTACTTGGGACTAATGCTCACCTTACACAATACTTAAACTATCCCTCAAAAGTTATGTGAAGCAATGTAGAAGGAGACAAGGCCTGAGAAGGGGGCCTTGTCTGTGAGGCTCTAACCTGGCTCGGCTGCACGCAGCTCTCCGCAGTTCTTGTATCAACTGGCCAGTGCATTCGGGCTCTTTACTGGCTGCCTGCAGCAGCGCTTTCCTAAAAGTATGCCGGCATTTCTTTTGTCGAGACTCTGCCCGCTCCAGGCGGCAGAGGTGCTTGTATTTCTGCTGAAAGTAAGTGCAAAGTTGGGTCACCCTGGAGCTCCTACTCTCCATGTCATCGTCATCCGACCTGGAAAGTACAGGGAGAAGGGTAGAAACTGATTACATGCAAAGTGAAAATGAACACAGGTTGGTGAATGGCCCAGGGTTAAAACTCCTGTGGCATTTGAACACAAACATAATAAACCAAGAGAGATTCCAGTAGCACTGAAAAGAAGCCCAAACTTTCAGCCTGCAACAGACAGCAGCATTCATTTCTTCAGCAGGCCTCCAGCAGGCACTATGGCACCAGGGCAGGACACCAAGAACAAGCATCTCTTCATCCTTGCTCACTTCGAGGATACAGACATGGTACCCTCACGAAAATCACAGCCACCCAGAAACACAGCAGTCACCTCTAATGACACTTCCTAAGAGCTACCCTTTACACACTCTGGTTTACATCAGCTTTTCTCCCCAGAGAATGTGTGGTGTAGGAGTCATGGACCTGCCATTGCAGCTACAGAGGCATGCTTTCACAGGCCAGGGTAACTGCAGTTTCCTGCAGTGCTAATGTGACTGACTGCTGACTCTGATTCAAGCGGTTGCTGGAAAGGATGCTGAGGGGACATCTAAGCTAACAGTGCTGTGCTGGGCTTGCTCAGCATTGCCTACACCACCAATGGCAACTTTTCTATAGGACCAACTTGACCTCATCCTTTAATGCTGGGAACAATACACATCACGGAGAACAATGTTTCTAGATCTCCTCTCTCTTCTATTATAAGTAAACAGGACCCAGACACTCCCAGAGACTGTGCATCAATTCTACATGGTTTCAGCAGCTCAGTAGTTGGGTTTTCCTTGTTGTTGTTGTTTTTGATTTTTCGAGGCAGGGTTTAGCTGTGTACCTTTGTAGAAAAGGCTAGCCTCGCAAAGAGATCCGCCTGCTGGGACTAAAGGCATGCGCCACCACTCCCAGCTCAGTATTTGTTTTTGTTTTGTTTAGTTCATATCAGCCCATAGCAAGCTACTCTATGAACTTCTGTTTAGAATATATCCTAGAAACACGTCCTTTACAGTATAGTTTCTACTATAAATACACACATCACACATTAAAGACTCATACTTCGATATTTTTGTCTATTGAACATCTACTGTATGTCAATTATGCTAACCACCATAGGAGAGCCAAGTGGAAAAGAGTTTACAGTGAGATTTATACAAGATACACTCCCAAATGGAGAGGGAGGGAGGAAGACTCTTTGGTGGTCCTTGCCTTTAATCCCAGCACTCAGCTAATCAGGATGCAGAGACAGAAGGCTCTCTGAGTTTGAGGCCAACCTAGTCTACGAAGTGAGTTCCAGACCAGCTAGGGCTATGTAGAGATACCCTGTCTCAACAAAACAAACAAACAAACAAACAAATGGGTAACAAGGGGCTACAGAGATGGCTCAGCGGATAAGCAAGCTCACTTGCTGTATAAGCATGAGGACATGGGTTTGGATCCCAGAACCCATGTGAAAGGATAGAATCAGGAAGTTGGAGAGATGGTTCATTGGTTAAGAGAATGATTTGTTATTGCAGAGTACTTGGTTTTCATTCCCAACACTCACATGGTGGCTCTCAACTAGTCATAGCTCCAGTTTCAGGGTATCTTAAGGCCCGATCCAATTCTTATTTCCTTGTGGTGTACACAGATACATACACGCAGGCAAAACACTCATAGAACAAAATAAAAAATCTTTTTAAAAAATAGTTATGGGGAGCTGGAGAGATGGCTCAGCAGTTAAGAGCACTGACTGTTCTTCCAAAGGTCCTGAGTTCAATTCCCAGCAACCACATAGTGGCTCACAACCACCTTAAATGAGATCTGGTGCCCTCTGCTGGCATGCAGGCAGAAGACTAGACACAATAAATAAATAAATAAATAAATAAAGTCTTAGAATGGGTATGGTACACACCTATAACCCTAATTCATGTAAACAGGAGACTGCTGGAACTTGCTGACAATCAGCCTTGCCCCAAGTACAGCAGAAACCCAATCTCAAAGGAATAAGGCAGAGAGGTAGAGCAGGGTGCCTGACATCGTCCTCTGGCCTCCACAAAGGAGGCAGAGGCAGGCACACACATACATTTACACACCCATGCACACACACATACTACACTAAAGCTGGGCAAGTAGTAAGATAATTATTTGTTAAAAGGAGGAAAAGTAGGCCAGGCGTTGGTGGTGTATGCATTTAATCCCAGCACTCGGGAGGCAGAGGCAGGCAGATCTCTAAGAGTTCAAGGCCAGCCTGGTCTACAGAGTGAGTGCCAGGACAGCCTCCAAAACAATACAGAGAAACCCTTCTCAAAAAATGGAAAAAAAAAAAAAAAAAAAAAGAGGAAAAGTGTATCAAAGCAAAGTAAAAACTAGAAAACCAGGGTCTTGTGGCCTTCAAGGTAACCAACCAGGAGTGTGAACTGTTCCAGAGGAAGAACACTAAGGGAGGCTATGAGTCTCAAACAACAAAGGGCATTGTAATTCTGAAAGAATGAAAGGTAGAGACAGACAGCACACTGCTTCCAACCAAGAACAATCAATCCCCAAATCCCTGAATTCAGGCTATGTTAGGAATTACGCTACAAATAGCTTCTATCCGTTACTCATTTCTCATGTACTAGGCAGAGTATTCATTTAGGTTAACTTAGCATTTGCAGAATTCACTCCAAACCTCTGAAGTCAATTTTAGTGGACAAGACGCATGACCACGTGGTTGTGTAACTCACAAGGCTAAGCTTGACAAACTCTACTGTGTTCTAGCTCAGAGCACACTAATAGTAAGAAAGCAGTCCTGAAGGACGTGAAATGGAACCTCAGTGAGTAAAACCTGCATTGCCAACACCCTTAGGGGCTACATGGGGCAGAAACAGTATGGTGGGAGATCAAACCCAAGCACTGAAATGGATGGATATGCTAGTACAACTGAATGACACTAGCAATTAATAAAACCCAACTAACTCCCTTTGCTCCAGTTCCATTCGCAAATAATTTGCTTCCATGTAGTCTCAATTTATAATCAGTCTCTACTGAATCATTTTCCACTACCTATCACGTTTTTAGTCCTACAATTTCAAGAACCAAAAGATAAACTAAATGTCCATACAAGGAGGCTGTAAATTTCTAGGAGTGGATCTGGTGCCCAAGGTCTGGTGTTCAACGTCTGGCCACGTATATCTACATAAGACCTGAGAACACTTAAAAAAGAGATCTAAACACAAAACTGTAGCCAAACACAGTTTCCTAGTCTTCTGTTTCTCATAGCGGCCTTTGTACTTGAGCCACCAGTGCACCATGAGCTAAGTCACATGGTGGGTTTAAGGTCTTGCTCATGCAGACAGAAAAGGTTATAGACACACACAGTAATGAAGGTTTAGATGAAAAAAAAAAAAAAAAACCCTCTAAAACCTTTAACAATGTGCATAGGCTTAAGGGGGAAAAAGGGTATAGACAGTCAGAGAAGAAATAGTTTAAAAATTATAGTTTTGGCCGGGTGTTGGTGGTGCACACCTTTAATCCCAGCACTCGGGAGGCAGAGGCAGGAGGATCTCTGTGAGTTTGAGGCCAGCCTGGTCTCCAGAGTCAGTGCCAGGATAGGCTCCAAAGCTACACAGAGAAATTCTATCTCGAAAAACCAAAATAAATAAATAAATAAACAAATAAATAAAATAGTTTTAAAGAGAGAGTAAAATATTTTTTTAAAAAAAAAAACCATATAAGGATAGAAAATTCACAGGGAGTCTGGATCCTATACAGTGTCTTGCTAACTGAATTTTTTAAACGCTAATGTACAAAAGACAATAGCTGCTGAGAGACATTGGACTACGGAAACTACTAAATCAAACCAACCTATATATTTTAAGAATGTCTTAACTTCAAAATGGAAATCAGAAATGTGTTGCATTGGTGGAGAGGTTATGCCTTGGTTTTCAAAGGAATTGAAGTACTGTGAACTCCTTCTAGATTATAACAGAGATCAATTTGACCCGGGGAGACCTCGTGAGTATCTTGGCTATAGACATGGGTGAGAAAGCAAAAAAAAGGCTACAGGACTGGTGACATGTAAGCTGATCCTTTGACATGGGAACAGCTCTGAGATAAATTTTGTTAGCTACAGAGATTTCCTGACTTATTATTACATGCCATCCTTCATATGTTATCTTTGAAAGTTTATGTGTTTTCAGAGCAAGGGGACCAGACACCAATGAAAATAGGTGGCCCAGGTGATCCAACCCCTCAGAGCACCTTTGTTGTAGTTTCCTCAGAGTTCTGCATCCAGAACAGCTTGAGGCTCAGATACTACTCCAACCAGGACTTCAGATAAGCCTTGTAGTTTCCCATTGCACAAGACTAGACAACAAATAATACAGCTAATTTTCCCAGGACTACTTGACCATTATCCCAATTTTAGGGTCTCCTAAAGAGGCCAACACCCACAGGCAACTGGAAGCAGCCAATAGAACAACATCTACATTTCCAAAAGGTAGGGTGGATGACTTTTGGTCATTAGATGGGTTACAGATGTTTGTCATCATTTAAGGGGTTGGTTAAAAGTTGTTATTGGCCACGGTCAAGAAAAAAGATAAAAGAATTAGATTCAAGGATTTCTTTTCTGAAGTAAAAAGGGGGGATAAAAGTATAAAGTATAAGTATAAAAATGATTAAAGGGTGAATTGTTGAGTCTGCTTTTAAGCAACCACTAGTCTCAAATATTTTACAATGGTATGGATTTTTGTATATTGATACAAATTTAAGATTATTTTTGCTATACTGTATATATGTTTCTATTCTCACTTAAAGTATTGTACCTATACAGCTCATTTTAAAAGGTTACATCAAGTTTTAATCTTTGAAAGCTATTTAGGGTAATAAATACAGGTTAACAGTCACCTATAACTAGCAAACTTATAGTTAGGTATGTTTTCAAGGTCATACAGAGAAATATTTTAGATAGATAGGTAGCCTTCAAACACTTGACTTACAGAATATGGCATTTAAAATTTAAAATTAATAACGTAAGGCTTTTCATGTCAATGAGACATGTCTGCTTCTTATAGCACCAATTTATTTCAAAAAAGGATGATGGTCATCAAAGAAATTCCACATGGAGTTTACTTTGTTTGTGGCAAAAGTAGCCACTGGGTAAGAAAGTGCCCTTGCCTCTAATGATGACAGTATGCTGTCCAAATTGGACAAACAGGACACAAAGAAGACAATTGCTGAACTTTTCCAAGACAAGGTAGAACAGTCCTTCAAAATTCCTGCTTCACAGAAAGTCTGTCTCTAGGCCAAAAATGGAGGCCCCAATTTGCAGAGGAACCTTGGGTGACTGTCCAGGCAACCAGCTGTTTCTTTCATTTATTTTAGTTTTGGAAGCTGCTTGCTCTGCACTTTCTGTAATATATCCTTCTGAGGTATTTGATGGAGTGAAGACCAGATAGTTATATCTTAGTTATGATATAAGATAAATTAGGTATACAGCTTTGGACTCATCAAGATAGAATAAATAATGGAGTATTTTCTCCAAATATTGCCAAATACAAATAGACTAGACAATGTAAATGTAATTTTTACCTGATAATTGCTCTTATTGTTTACAGTTTTATTATGCTAGAGTTAAAACTTTTCTTTTTTATTTAGACAAAGGAGGGAAATGTTGTAGAATAATATTTTTGTACACTGTGAAGATCTGTCACTTGGATTGTTTTAATAAAAAGCTGAATAGCCAATAGCTAGGCAGGATTTTCAGGGCAGAGAGGACACTGGGAAGAAGAATGGCAGAAATACAGAGTCATCGGTCAGAGACCCAGAGGAAGCAGGATGTGCAAGAGATGAGGTGACAAGTCATGAGCCACATGGCAGCATGTAAATTAACAGAAATGGGTTCATTTAACTTATAAGAGCTAGCTAGAAACAAGCCAAGCTACCAGCAGAACTTTCATAATTAATAACACATCTCCATGTCAGAATTTGGGAGCTGGCAGGAGGGACAGAAAAATCCACTTACAGGATCAGTATCAGATATCAAATGAGCTGGCCTCCATTTTGTTGGGTATTTATGTTAACCCCAAAGTTTTAAATAAATGATCAGCTCAGGCCATGAGCAGTATGTTCTGGCCCCACCAACAAAAATGTCACTTGGTTTGTTTACAGTGCACCAACTGAACTCTTTAGAATACTAAATGTGTCACTAAAAGAAATTCATCTTTGTACTACTTATTACTAAGAAGACAGCATTCATCATCTACAAACTCTTGACAAGTACCTTCTTTATAAAACACACTGGGAAAAACACTGAAGGGGGCTATCAGAATACTGAACCAGCTTTTGATAAGGTGAGTACTTCCAGAAGTAAGAAAAGCATTACCTAGCCGATCAATCCTGTAGAAGTCAGTGAAGTAAAAAAGCACTATTTCTCAGGGCACACACTCAGGAGGCAGAAACAGCAGGATAAATATGAGTTCAAAGCAACCTGCTCCACATAGAGAGCTCCAAGCCAGCCAGGGCTATACAGTGAGACCCTGTCTCAAAAAACAAAAACCAAAAAACAACACTATTGGATGGGAGGCACGGAGGGATTCTAGGTAGCCCTCAGTGATCATGATCAAGTTTCTTAGTCTCTTTGGCTATGTTTTCTACTTTCATAAGATGAAATTACATCAGATAATCTCTAAGATCCCTTTCAATTCTATTACATTAAACTCTATCCATTGGTGAATGGGAAAGATAGGGAAACACATTTAGAAAGAAAACCTCAAAGTTAACTTTGTTCAAACAATATAATCCATTTCTTCCCAAACTGAATTAACCTTGCCTAACTATACCTAATTATAGCATAGTAAAATTAAATCATTGGCACAGACAGGAAGAAAGGCAAACTGCTACATACGGTTGGGGGGTAGGGGTGGATGGGCACAAAACAAAAAGGAAAGCTTACATGTGTCTTTCATATCTGAGGGTTTCTCGGATGGACCAGGCAACCTGATATGGCGAAGCCTGATCTGAGTCCTCCGGCTCTTCTCCGCTCTCTTCAGACCAGTCCAACCCTGCAGCAGACAGTGAGAAAGACAGGTTAGACAAAAACATTAATTTACTTAAGATCTGCACAAAGACCGGCAAGATTGCTCATCAATAACAAGGCACCCACTGCCAAGCCTGACCACCTGAGTTCGAGCCCAGGGACCCACATGGCAGAACAGAACCAACTTCCACAAGTTGTCTTCTGACCTCCACTTGTGTACAGTGGCACATATTATCCCATCAATAAATAAATAAATAAATATGATGAAATTTAAAAATAATAAAACCCAGACCAAAAAAAAAAAAAAAAAAAAAAAAACACACAAAAAAAAAAAAAAAAAAAAAAAAAAAAAAAAAAAAACCTGCCTAAAGCCAAGCAGTGGCAGCTCTCACCTTTAATCCCAGCACTCGGGAGGCAGAAGCAGGTGGATCTCTGTGAATTTGAGGCCAGCCTGGTCTACAGAGCAAGTTCCAGGACAGCCAGGGCCACACAGGAAAATCCTGTCTGGAAAAAACAAAAACCAACCAAACAAACAAAAACAAGGCTCTTCTACAGTCTGTAGCTAGTAGATTTGATTAGAAAACTTATCCCAGGATGGCCTCAAACTTCTGGTGATCCTCCTATGTGCTGGGATTACAAGGGAAAGTTCCCATATCTGGCTACTCTGAGTGTATGTGTACATGTTTCTTTGTGTACAGAGGCACACGTATGTGCCTATGCATGTAGGTGCATGTTCATTTGTGAGGAGGGCAAATATCAACCTCTGAGTGAGCTCCAGGACAGGCTCCAAAGCTACAAAGAGAAACCCTGTCTCAATAACAACAAAAAGTATCTGAAATGCATAAGGGCCTCCAAATGAACTTCCCTTCTATTATTATAAAGATGTATGATGCTACACACTCAGCTTTAAAATCATGACATTTTAACACTATGGCTGTGCTGGGCCCCAAAATGGACCCCATAATATACTTTGTTAATCATTTGGAAACAGCACAAGCAAAGACACTGAGCCCTCAGTACATAAAAGGTAAAATCATTCAAATATCAAAAACATAATACATTAAATTAAAAGTCATACACTAAAAAAAGGCCATCAAGGGCTGGAGACATGGCTCAGAGGTTAAAAGCACCAACTGCTCTTTCAGAGGTCCTGAGTTCAATTCCCAGCAACCACATGGTGGCTCACAACCATCCGCTATGAGATCTGGTGCCCTCTTCTGGTGTGCAGATATATATGGAATCAGAATGTTGTATACACAATAAATAAATAAATTCTTTTTTAAAAAAAGTTAAAAAAATTATAAAAAAAAAAAAAAAAAAAAAAAAAAAAAAAAAAAAAAAAAAAGGCCATCAGCCAGGCGGTGGTGGTGTATGCCTTTAATCCCAGCACTTGGGAGGCAGAGGCAGAGGCAGGTGGATCTCTGTGAGTTCGAGACCAGCCTGGTCTACAAGAGCTAGTTCCAGGACAGCCTCCAAAGCCACAGACAAACCCTGTCTCGAGAAACCAAAACAATAAAAAAATAAAAAAAGGCCATCAAGGTCACAGCTAGTAATGTGGCTTAACTGGGACAGTGCTTGGCTGGAATGCACAGAGCACTGGGTTCAATCACCAACATGATCAAAAAACTCAGTGTGGTGGTGCATGCCTGTGATCCCAGCTAGCCCCGAAAGATGGAAGGTAGAAGGATCAGAAATTCAGTGTCATCCCCATCTATTGAGTTGCAGGCCAGCCTGAGATTCCTGAGACCCTAATACAAAAAAACAGTGGAAGGGGTAAGAAAAGGTAGACATGGTGGCTCAGGCCTTTCACTTCAGCATTTGGAGGACAGAGGCAGAGGCAGATGGATCTCTATGGTATGAGGCCAGCCTGATCTACATAATTGAGTTACAGGCCAGCCAGGGATATGTGTCGAGAGACACTGTCTCAAGAAAAACATGGGGAGGGGTGAGGAATGTAATTTATATGTCCAGGCAAGAAAACGTGCCAATAGAGTCACTTAGCAAAAGTGGCCCTGGGAGACATGAAGACGGATGTGTTTCTCCATTGTTAAACTAATTATCACCAAAGCAAACCTTGATCTTGGCCTCATTATCTCCTATCCTAAGTAACTAACTGATAGAACCAGCTCAGACAGCCCATAAATGTGAATCACAGTCTGGCTTTCTCTTAAAGTGCTCTTCACTTTAAGAGAAAACTATGCAGACTATGAACGATGGCCAGAGTGTCTTCTCCAAAGAGTCTTAGATCTCTAATATATTTGGATTTAAAAACACAAAAAAAGCAACCTGGGCAGTGGTGGCCTACCCCTTTAATCCCAGCATTCAGGAGGCAGAGCGACTTCCAGGACAGCCAGCGCAGTTACAAAGAAAAACCCTGTCTCAAAACAACAACAACAAAAACCCAA